CTATGAAATAATCTTTTGCAGAGTCATCTTACAAATTGTTCCATCAGTTTCTTCAGCTAGCATTCGTTCTTTTAAATTTGTGTTACGGTGATCTATTATGATAGTTAATTTCGTTTCAAATTATTACCACAATATGATGAACTCTATATAATCCGAACATTTGGCTCAGAAACGCGGGCAATAGATTAAAACGGACGAACTCACTCACGAAGCTCATATATCTCACTCGAGTGAGATGCAAGGCGTGTCTTACCGCAAGAAAAGTATTAAAAGAGCATGGGAAATAGCGCAGCAATAAGAGCAAAAGTTACGTCGCTACGAGACACGCTAATGTTGTCATAAATCACCAGCGGAGCACGAAGCTCCCTCACTTTTTATACAAGATGTGCCACTGAAGCGCAGCGACCAAAGTATTGGCATATGAGCGTCAACGGAAGGAAATTAACGAAGCTCAAACATTGGCATCGATGAGCGCTGGCCATATTCTGGTTATTTTTAACCTGTCACCTTGGGATGATCAGGTCCCTTCCGTGTTAGGTTTAATCGGGAGGAATGAGCGAAATGAGAGCGTACGACGCCCATGATATCAAGGATAACGAAATAAAATCTTGCTAATGTGATCGAGAATTTGCGTCCCGGCTTAATGTCGGCATTTAATTTAAGTTAAATGTCCCTATCTCGAGGGTATCGACGATATTTAGTTTATTATTACGTTCCTGGGATTACGTTACCACCTCACAGTTTGAACGAGTAGATGACGATATACATGAAGATAAAGATCCCTCGGACATGGCTTCTCAATTTGACTGGAGAAAATCATAATTTTTGTGAAAAGAGGTAATACTTATGGAAAAGATTTGGAAGATGATTAATATATATGAAGTTTTAATTTATTTAATTCGAGAATTATCAATTTGAAACCCCAAAAAACCCCTCGTTGGTAGAACAGAGCTAATTTCAGAAAAATCCCCCCAAAAAAATATAATTGAAAACAGCATGAATCTTTCTTTACGTGAGAGGAAACTAGGATTTTACATGTTAGTGCCTTGCGAGATTTAGATTAAATGCTGACCATTGTAATAGTGAATAACTTTATGCAATTTGAGCCATCATGATGAGATTTACTTATGCAACAGTTGTTTTTATTTTCAGGTTTTATGATGTTGTTGTCTTAATAAGTAAAAATATTATCAGTTGGTGCTTTCTCTGATACAAATCCCCGTTAATTATAGAAACAAGTATTTCCAATATATACTTGTTTGCGCTGCACTTGGACAGCTTTCAGGAAAAGAACCATTGACTAATGACATTTTTACGTTTTTATCTGGATAATATGTTCTTCATTACTTGTAAGCAAAATAATTGAAGTTTATTTCCGCCCAGGATATAGGTAATAATTTATTTTCGCCGATTTTTACTTTGAAACTAATCTAACAATTAGAGAGAAGGCTCTGATTGATTTGACTAAAATCCCAATAACTAGGAGAATATAACTTCTCGTCGCTACCATGATGAAATTTCTGCTCCATTAAAGCAATTGCGTTACAAATTTTCACTTTTTTTAAACCATGTCAAGTTATTGCTCGTTATAAAAAGCGTCGTTCTCCACCTTAGAGGATAATCCGACGCAACTTCAACTGGGCGAGATTTGTGGTCCAATTCCCATAATGGCCGCGTCATTTCATTCGCCAGTTCAGGGCTGGCAGAAGTCAAAGTAGCTAGCAAGTTCTCGCGTTACATTTTAAATAAAGTTCCCATGTAATGTTCAGTCAAGATTGAATGGACGAGAGGCAGAAATGAGGTTTAGTAAAAAACTTGTTAATGAAAACAAAGGAACCGGAATATTGACAACCGTCTCGAAATTTGGCCATCGTTCTTTTTCCTTCAATAATGTCGCACCTCGAATGAGTCGTAAACTTTTTGAGGCGGAAAACTCTTTATTCGTACTTTTTTATCGATTTTTTTACGGTGTTTCTAATGAGAAATTGTAGGTGAATATTGTGAATAGTGTACGTACAAATTTATTAGTTTTGCGCAAAATTCTCAAGCGTTAGCTTCTTCTACCAACAAGTCGTTGATATCTTCATAAAAGATATACGAAAAGGACAAAAAGTATCGCGGAAATTAATTTCATGTATTTTTATTTATATACAGTGATGTACACGAAAAACACTGCGATCTAATAAATAAGTCTAAGCCCTCAGGCAGAACTAATACTAACATTGGACAATTATCTACACTATTTATCTAAAATTTCTCACCCTTGCTCTATTGAACCTTCGTAAATGATAAGGCAATTGAATTTTCCTTTTCCTCAATATTTTCTGTGAAAATTGCGAAATTAAGCGCAAAATTATTTTGAACCTCGGCTAAAAATGTCGATTCGTATGATCTTAAATTCGTCTATTTCAGAAATTTTGACCATAAACCTGGATAATTTTCTTTGTCTTGGAAGTGATCCGCTGAGGAGAAAGCTTGGGGTATCTTTTCGGCAGCCACATTTCCTCGGTCAATTAATTACATAGAAGTTCAGTCAGACTTGAACTTGCGTCCGAGCAAACTTGCTTTGCACTTTATTGAGCTCCAGAAAACTCCGTTCTATTTAATTGTGAACTTTGAAAAATCAGGGAGCAGAGCGGATTTGATGCTTTGTAGGAAATAATGTTTGCAAATATAAAATAAGTAATCTCCTTACATACTAAAGATTTGGAATAACCTGCCTAATTGATAGGGAATTTTTTTATACAATGTGTAAAGTATCTTCAGCTTAAACATGTTCGAAGGCCTCAGGAAAATTCATAATGAAATCAATTTCAATTCGACTAAAATATTAATATTATATGAATCAGCGAGTATTATATTTTAAAAATTTATTTGAAGATCATAAATTATTATAATACTTAAAATTATTCTTTAGATTCCAATGCCGCACTAACCAATTTTCATTCCTTAATAAAGTCTCGAGCTCAGTATTGACCTCAAGAAACATCCCTGCCATTAAATCAGTAGACATCTTGCATCACAAAGATCAATGTCCTCAGCAGGTTTGCAAGTCTGAACAAAGTCATATGCATTGCAAGCGAAAAGATTCATTGGATCTTCGTATTTCATACAAGTGCAGCCGCAGCAAAGCACCTTACTTTGTAGTCGTACAAATATTTTCCTCTCTAAGAAGCTTTACCCAAATACTTTTGATTCATCAAAGATTTCTTAATCCTCACATAGCTGCATGCTTGGCATTGGCGACTTTGATAAAAGCGCTAAGCCTCGCTCATAAATTTTTCATATCCGATGTTTTTTCATGAAAATTTAATGACCACAACCTTCATTTGTTACCCTAAACCTCTATTTCAATATAAAGTGGTTAAATTGCACTCTAACTTATATGGTAATTCTGTTCGAGAAATCTAGATTGATAAATTTATTTCAGATAAATTCACCATAATTTCAGTCGCCATAATGAAAAATTAAATTGCTCGCGACTTAGCTTATGAACATTCTTTAGAATGCAATTCAAACCTTTTTTAATCTAATTTCAACGGTAATACGGCGTAGGGATGTAAGCCATACGCAATTCTCAGCGTATGAATACCTGAGGCCAAAACTGTCACGCTCATTTGACAAAACTTTCATCGCGCGCCAGCCGCTTGCAGCCCCAGTCTCTCTCGAGGCCTCGAGCCATGTTAAGGAGTCAGCGTCGCTTTACAAGAGAGGCAAACGCTGTGAGAATATAAGTCTTGTCTGTTCCATATGGGCGTAATACTAGTTAGTTGCATCCCACATCTAGTTTATAAAAGATTATTTGGTTGTCACCAATTGAGGTATGAAGAATAATGAAGTATAGTGGTCTCTAATAAAATAGAAATTGTTGAATATGCCTCAGATAATTAAACTTTTAGTGTAAAATTTACTTATTAGAATATGAATTTAATAAAATGTTGAATAACACCATTCTCAAAATGATTGTTGGAAGATTCTTTTTTAGAACTTGTAGAACTCTACTCGGATCGTCTTCCATGACTCATAAGCTGTAATATTTTTAAATTATTTATCGATCGGATATTTGACCTCTATCTTTGACCTCTATCTTTACAGTCTGCAATGATTCAGATACAACATCTGCGATTTTGATAAAGGCGAAATGAATGCGAGTAATTCATTTCCGCATGCCAACAAAGCAAATGATCCCATGCATTCTGTGCATTTGCAAAACCTGCGAGTTCGATTTTTGCACTAGGCCAACAAGAAAATATTGCGAGTCGGCAAAACGAGAACTCAAGTCGAAACAACGTCGGCGACATCACAAGGCGGCTGTGATTAATTGTCAGCCACGGAGTGAGTCTTTTTCTGCATTTTCGATGATGGATTGCCGAGGAAGAAAATGCACGAAATTTCTGTAAGACAAAATATCATGATTTTTAAACTCATACCTTTATTAAGATTCAAACAACAATGAATTGGAAAAATATCGAATCAAAATAAGAATTGAACGAGATTAAATTATGCAAATTAAAAAGAAAGGGTCACCACAGAATCGGCTACATTCGTGAAATTTTGGTTCAAATTCTCGATCCCACAGCGAGAAAAATTACTTTATATTTAAAAGGTAAACACGTTCACTATTTGAAACATGCAAGTTTGCTTTATCATTACGTTGCAATGAACCATAGTAATTAATAGCAACAACAAAATCAAATCTGCAACTTACATCTAAAATCCTAAATAAATATTATAGGTACGAGTTAGCATCAACAGAATACAAAAAAAATCCACGCAAACTTTTCCGTAGGCATCCAATCACCAGCTCTGTGAATTTAATCTTTTAATAAAATCACTGTCGCTCGAAGTTGGTTACAAATTTTCATGCGGTCCCACACAATTTTTCTGCACGTCTATTTTATCACAAAATATTTTGACGACAATGCGACATCGTCAGTATATTCATAACAATACATTTTTCATCGTTTGCCTAATCTTCAAATTTTATATATATATATATATTTATGTTACAATAATTTGCTTCGACCGATTCACATTGACAGCAAGGATTCAAATTGATAGTTTAAAAATGTAATGCAACTTGGATTGCAAGTTTGGATTGCTGCATCTCGCATTACAGGAGGTTTCTTGCCTCGCATAGAAAATTTAAACGATAAGTGCGCATTGCCGAATAAAATTTTTCGACATTAAACTTTTCAGTAAACCCAAACCAAACTCTTATCATTTCGCGTTTACATTACAACAGCACACCTCGAAGGTATTACAGGACCTCGGAAGTATCTTATTCCACATACAGTATTACCATTTTAGTTAAGTTTGACTCTAACCTGATATAACCCTCCACACATGTTTAGTTTGTATTCAGAATTGTCTTCATATTGTTTCCTCCCTCCGATACAGTAGCCCCAACCACGTTCAGGAACTGAAGAAGAAATAATAATAAATTTGTTGTTGTGTTGTTCAACTTTGTAATGCATTATACACCCAGCCCCTATATTGACAGCATGAGATAAATCAGAATGGACAGAACTCTCTATTGCTGGCCTCATAGATACTCCTCCGTCATTGTATGTCCACCATGCAGTGAATTGGATCACCCGTACCCCATAACTTCACAATGAATATTTACAGCAGAGCTACGGACAAAAACTTACCATTGTGCATATGTTTACGGATTTTAATTGAAGCCTCTGCACTGCGGCAACAACATTATGGGCCACGATACTTTGATGGTCGCAAAAAGCAATCGGTTGCTGATGCCATAACTGAGCGAGCCAAGCCCCGGCTGATATTTATAGGAGCTTGTCAACCTCACCGCGCCATACCTAATGCGTGCTTTGCTATAGCGAAAGCTTCATATCAGATGATACGGCAATTTACGCTTGAATGCCAACACATAAATCTTGCTTATACCAATCAAACTCGTCCAGCAGAAGATATTGTGCTGAAATGGAGCCCTATCTTCGGTTAATATTAGGGGTAATCTTTCTAGTGGTTGGGCACTTTAAACTTAAAGCACCGAAGACAAAAAATTCAACGTTTGGTTATTCATGTGGATTCACAATGCCGCAGTCATGATGGAGATTTAATCATATTTATTGATTGAACACAGAAATACAGTCAGTTAATACATCCATTCGACCATTTTTCATTCCACATGGCAATTGGTGAAATCATTTGATATCACTCGTTTCGGATGAAGAAAACTATAATACTACGTAGTGCATCATACAGAATGGCAATTATAAAGCAATGTGGCCTGTGGTGAAGACTTTTCAAGAAAGAAAACATTTTTCTACTCAATTTAGATCCTCTTTGATGATCGAGGTTTGGTCAAGGGGAGGACAAGGCAGTGTCATTCTGCTGTCTTAACGAGTTCTATTGAAATTCTTCATCACAATTCACGACTGTGTCTTATGTAGGGCTTGCACAAGATGACTGGGTCCCTTCCATGGCTTCTGGGTCCTTCCGAACTTTGGTCAACAGAAACTTTTGCAGCTCATAAATTAAGTCATTGTTGGTCTTACAATGACTCAGCAGATGCTGTTATTCTATGATCCTGCTTCCTCGGAAGTTTTTGTATAAATAATGCCGCGGATTCCTGAATCAAATGGAACTTCATTTAAAATGAATGCCTCACAGGGAAACTTAAGAATTTCGGTTTCTCATTGACAAAATGACTTTAATCTTTGTTACTTAACTTATTTTTGCCAGAAACCTGCATTAAACATGTCTTTGAGGTATACAGATGGGCTTTTAAGCTTGCTGGAGCACCAAGCAGCGGACACATTTTTGCACTTACCGACACAAGTTTTTTTTCATGAATTTAACTATACGTCAAAATATGAGTAGTTAAAGGTTAAAAGTTTCATTTTGAATAACACATTGTGGCCAATTCATTTCTTTATATTGACTCATACATTATGTTGAAAAAGATTAATATTATTCTAGAGGCTAAACGTTTGCAGGGTGCCTCGAATTTTATACAATATTATTGGTCAGTATTTATCTGCTTATCATTTTAACATCGCTTTGTCCCTAAGAAAATTACCAAACATAAGCCAAAAAAATTCTTGGTAAGTCCATAATGACTGAAATTCACTATCTCATAGTTTATCATTTATATTCTCTACCATCTGGTGTATTTAACTTCACTAATACTAATTAGTGATGGATGATTCTTACGTGCAAGAAAAATGTTCATGAATTTTTAAATATTCGGTCAGCAAGTGGGACAAGCATGATGAGAAATTTGGTAATTATTTTCTTCAATTCACTTTACTTTAGCGTGAGCAGAATAAATAAATAAGTAGTGGACGCCCTTAAACATATAACAGACACAATAGAATCTAGGAACCAGTTACACTTCGAATAATTTTTATGGTTTGTATTTTTATATATGAGAAATCCTTACTATTTTAAGGATACTGTATAGAACTCAACAATCTTACCGTGGACTTAAATTTCAATCTTTTCAGAATTATATAGTTCGTTCCTTATTCTGATACAGAGGAGACATTTAATTTACATATTACCATTCTAGAAATTAAAAAAATAAGCATCAATTAGCGATCAATATAAAGAAACACACCAGCTACACATGAGATCGATCTTGATCAGAAGTTTTTCTGAACACGAGTAAGCATTTGAAAAAAACTAATAAATGTAAGTAAACACTTATTTTTCAGCCTTGAAGTTCCTTTTGGACACAATACGTACACTCATGTAAGGAAAGACACTAATAATAAATTTACTTCATATTTATTAATTTCAGTATGCACTTGATAATTACGACTTTATGAAATCAGCGGTAGTCTTTGCGTGGCTTGTTATTGTTTGGAATTTTCACGCATAAAATTATATAAATTGTTCTATAATTTTTAAAGGCCAAATCGCAGCCTGACTGAACTGATAATTATCCATGAAATAGCAGAAAATATTTACACGAATCAGCTCATGATACCAAAAATCGTTATATACATTACACCAAATGCACAAGTAGATCTTAATTCTAATTGTCTATTTGCCTTCCCAGAACCTAATACCTCATGCCGGGCAGAAATCACTAGTAAGATTTCCACAAATTAATTAAACTTATTGGCGAGCCAAATTGAAAGAGGTGTACGGACAATTGATCGTTCAGAAATAAAGCAAGTATAAATCATATATCTTAAGATTTAAATAACCATTAGTATTAATATTTTTATGACCAGCAATGCACTGCTGCTCTATTTTAAAATGTCGTGGAGAAGCATTTCTCCGGCTAAATTTAGGGTATAGATTTGTATGTTGCATTGAAGACGGAACACAGCGATCATCGAGGAACAAAATTGCTGTTTATCAGAGCAGACGTGAAGCTGCGTGTGTTCAGAGCTGCAGACTTCAGGGCTGTCAGGGAAGGTAACAGCAGCAGCAGAGTACACCAGCAGCACAGCAGCAGCTGCGTGCTTCCTGCACGTGTTGTGCTCGCTGCTGCAACAGCTGCTGCAGCTGCAGCTGCAGTGCTTGTTCCGTGCTGCATGGCTGCTGGGTGCTCATCTGTGCAAAAATAAACAAAGCAAATATTTTTTATTATTTTTTCACCTTTTTTGTACGAAGGAAAATTCCATCGTTAATCGTAAACCTAGTTTTCACATTCGTAAACTAACTGCGTCACTTCCTGAGCGTAGGGTAGGACGCATAGGAAATATGGCCCTACACTTCTGGCCACCGAGATCACCTGATCTCACCCCATGTGACCATTTCTTATGGGGTTACGTCAAGGAGGCTGTCTACGTCCCGCCTCTACCAGCAACTCTGTTTACGTCCCGCCTTTACCAGCAACTCTGTTTACGTCCCGCCTCTACCAGCAACTCTGTTTACGTCCCGCCTCTACCAGCAACTCTGGTTGATCTGAAGAACCGTATCACTGCTACGTTGCACTCAGTAACAGAAGATATGCTTTCTCATGCGTGGAACGAGTTTGGCTACCATTTAGATGTTTGCCGTGCAGCACAAAACAAAAAACTTAGAATTTTTTTATTTGTGCATAAACTATCCATTTTTAATTTATATTTAAATATATACGAATTTATTAAATTGAGTACCGTTATTTAGAAAAACTCCGTATAATAATAGATAAATTTGTATTTATATAAAAGAATTAATATAAATGGTTCAAAAAATAATTATTTTAGGTGAGTCATATAAGTGCAATTATCAACAACTTGATCTGAGCCACTTCCAGTTTATAATTAAGGGTTTTTACCGTTAATTTTTTTTCATTTGTCTAATTTATCTGTGTCATCATGCAACTTTTCATCAAGTTTATCGTGGCTTCATGCATATTTTTTTAGGCTTATCTACACGATTAGTCTATAAAAATCTTGGCACGATCTGGTCAGCTTATCTCTCTTGTGGTCGATGCTGAAATCAAATATGGAATGAAGTTGAAACAGTTCTGTTACTAGAGCATGAAATCATCAGCGCTAAATTTTGTTAATTATATTTGCTCCAATTTCACATAGTTTTGTAGAATTCCTACAGATAACAGCAAACCCAAAAAATTTATTTCTCAATTGGAAGTGCACAACTGCATCCAAGCCTCCATTAAAGCGAGAAGTTCAATGGCATTTAATCCGAAAAAAATTTATGTCCATTTAACATTCAGCAATAAATTCCGGCCAAAATGCACATTCCTCCGGACGATCTCATTCCTGAATATTCAATCTTCGTCTAAAATCTCCGGCATATCCATGGAGGACTGAAACGACGCAATTCAATTAAAACTGACCAATTTATTCCAATGGATCTGATTAACTCTTGAAAGTTCCCCTGTATTCTTGAACCTAATCAACATGAAGATAAAAATGTAAACGTTGAACTCCATACTGAATCTGAATTTTTATTAAAACATGTAAACTCTATAATGGTATATGACAATGCCATTGCATGTGGTCATAAAACACATGCATCCCGAGTAACTAATGAAACTCATTCCCTTTATTTCATGCATAAAACGCACACAACTTTCCAAGTTCGCTAACCAAAAAATTTCATTCTTCAAAAGCAGCTCAAAAACAGTCTTTTTACCTCGCATGAAACGCGTCAATTAAAAATCCCTGCTTGTTCTGCACAATGCTTCCCCGTATGCACTTCTGACTTCTAATGCAACATGCACCATTCAAACGCTCACGCACTTTGCTGCACTTGAGCTTTCACGCACCATTCAGTGCCTCACGCGGCACGCACAATTTGACATTCATAATTGACCATTCATGCTTCAGACACCACACGCCGCTCACACATCACTCTAGCCCCATACACCACTCGATTGCTCACCACGATTCAGACACCACTCACGCTCTCGAACACCACTCACGCTCTCAAACACCACTCACGCCATCAAACACCACTCACGCTCTCAAAAACCACTCACGCTCTCAAGCGCCACTTACGCTCTCAAACACCACTCACGCTCTCAAACGCCACTCACGCTCTCAAACACCACTCACGTCATCAAACACCACTCACGCTCTCAAACACCAATCACGTTCTCAAACACCACTCACGCTCTCAAACACCACTCACGCTCTCAAACACCACTCACGCTATCAAACACCACTCACGCTCCAGACGCCACTCACGCTCTTAACCACCACTCACGCTCTCAAACACCACTCAAGCTCTCAACCACCACTCACGCTCTCAAACACCACTCACGCCATCAAACACCACTCACGCTCTCAAACACCTCACATGCGCTCAAACACCTCACATGCGCTCAAACACCACTCACGCTCTCAAACACCACTCACGCTCGCAACCACCACTCACGCTCTCAAACACCACTCACGCCATCAAACACCACTCACGCTCTCAAACACCTCACATACGCTCAAACACCACTCACGCTCTCAAACACCACTCACGCTCTCAAACACCCCATACGCTCGCAAACACCACTCATGCTCTCAAACACCACTCACGAACCACTCACGCTCTCAAACACCACTCACGCTCTCAAACACCACTCACGCTCTCAAACACCACCCACGCTCTCAAACACTATTCACGCGCTCTCAAACACCCCTCACGTCATCAAACAGCACTCACGCTCTCAAACAGCACTCACGCTCTCAGACACCACTCACGTCATCAAACACCACACACGCTCTCAAACATCACTCACGCTCTCAAACACCACTCAAGCTCTCAAACACCACTCACGCTCTCAAACACCACATACGCTCTCAAACACCTCTCACGCCCCTCAGGTCTACGCACCATTGAGGACATGCAGCGTGACGGACGCGGACGTGAGGCCGGCGGGCACGCACGTGTAGTTGCCGGCGTGTCGGCGCGTCACGCCGCGGATGACGAGTGAAGCGAGCGCCGCGTGCTGCGTCATCCGCTCCACGACCCGCCCGCCCGCCAGCATCTCTGAGCCCTCCTGAGGAGCAGCAGGCGAGCCGCACTATTAATTGCTGTATGTAAATATGGTGGAATAATGTGCTTGCGTGTATATGAAAATATATACTGTATGATTAAATAATATCCTCGGGGAAAACTTGATTTATATATTCATTTTAGATCTATATAAACGTTCAAATTTAGTTTTACCTTTTAAGTTCTAAACGTAGATGTTATACATGAGATGTGTTTGATGTATATTGATATTCACGAATAATGTGAATCAAAAATATTTGCAACTTTCAACTCAATTATCGTCATCCTCAAAGTCGGAGCTGAAAAAGATTGTTCTTTAATTTAAATACAATATTTTCCTCAAATTGCAACATTGAAAACAGTTCGGAATGCCCAGATGTACGTCAGTGCCTTTCCAGTCTCCGAGCTGATGAGGGCACTAACGAACGCATGCGGACAATAGAACACTACCCCACAGTGAGTTCTGATACTTCTTTATTATTTCTTAAGGATGCATCTTTGTCTCTGAGGGGAGTTTTGGTAAAACCAAACAGCCTCAAATTAAACTCTTCATCCGTATGTGTTGTGCGGATCTAAGATCAACACGACATGTTGATAGTCTCCTAGATTCATCGACAACATCGGAATTGCGAATTAATTCTTCGGGGAAATTTTGTTCCTACAGGCGTTAATTTATCGCAACCCTGACATGGATAAAGGCCTAAATGCAATTAATACAAATAATTACCATTATACCTCATTTTGACACTTTTGAATACAATTTTAAATACAGAACCCTCACCTGGATTTAGCTCGAAATATAATGAATTAAGATAATATATATAATCAACGCAATCCAACAATAAAATAACTTCAGATGTAATATTCATTCTTACTCTTTATTCCGACTTGGACGAGTTCTTAATATATGAAATAAAAATATTCAGCTCCTCGTGCTCAAGAATTTTAACTTTTCATGTCCCTTATTACGAAATATTAATTTCCTCGCTACTCACATGATACCAGAAGACGTAGGAAGGAGGCTCGATGGCCTGGGAGATGACGCACTTTATGGTGACGTCGCTCCCTGAGCGCACATGGAGTTCCGACCCTCCGGGGATGGTAACAATGGGCCCTGAGGTTCAACAAAGAAACGCTTGCTTTAATTTCTCTCCTTCGCAAACGAAGTAAAATACCGCAGCCAAGGCATGGTAGCGAAACAAAGAAGCTTGCTTTGCGAGTTATACATGGGCTCTTATCGCTCGTGTAATTCTGTGTTTCTCGACTGGACTCTTTATTTACACTAGCAGTTAATTTCTGGTCGCGTGAATTTAAGGTGTTTTAATTACTAGAGTGTACCGGAACACTACCGGATATAATACATGCAAAATTACTCTTATCTAATTATCTCGTACTTTAAATATTAACTATCACGTGATTTGCCGAGGGTTTTATGAGTCATACATATACCTGGGTATTTTTTTAATTGTGATAAAAGTATTAAACATTCTTACCCGTATTAATACATATAACTCACAATCCCGGAGACTCTATTTTTCACATTATTCAATAATTCCCCTCGAAGAAAGCGTACGGCGTCGCTTTAATTAAGTATATTTAGTATCTTTAGTATCTAAAGACTAAACACATTTTTTGTAGTTTTCAACAAGGTGTAATGCGAAGATTCCCAATTTAACGTTTGAATTATTTCTTAACAAAATTTTTGTCCAAATTCATATACGATTCCGATCTTAACGAGCTACAAATACTAAATTTTTCAAATTGTACAGAACAAAGGCCAGCTGATGACCGAGTTTTTAAGCAACGCACAATGAATATCATTTCTCTTGAATAAGATTGAAGAAAACAAATTTACAGACAGAAAGTTTCATGTAGGTTCTCAGAGAGACTAGAGATGAAATCTCGAAGCATATTTTTCTGTTATTCAAAGCTATAAATGGAAGAAAAGAATAGAAGAGGACACTCGGTTCCTACTTTTAGGGCGATTACAATTTTTAATACACTCAAATAATTAAATTTTTAGCAATTTTTCCAAGGTGGGAGGAGCAAATACGGTTATTTTAGCATATCATGAAAGGCTTCATACATATAAACCTAAAATGTATAAATTTCAATTGCTTCAAAAGACCCATCTAAATCTTTTCAAAGTTAAGAGATCATGAGAAACATTAATTTTGAATTTAATTATTTGTCTGTTATCAGTTAAATGTATGCCAAAAAAATTATTTTAATTTGTGCCTATAAAAAATTCTATATTTTCTGCAGATTTTTCCGCGCGCTCCAAAAAACAATGCAACTTTTCAACTCTTTGTATGGAGCTCAGGAAGGCAGCTTCTAAAGATATAATAAAATAACGAGTCTTGGATGCATTTATTTTATAATATTCCATTTTAAATTCACCCTGGAAGCCAACCAAGGTTTTATTATTCTCTTTAATTAAATCTCAGCCAAGATTTCGTGCAAATAACAGGCGAAAAAATAAATTGATGAATTCTTTGAGTGGTCTTTTTACAATGCCAGATCAAAACATTCTATTATCTGTACATCCGCTCTCAAAGTGCAAAAGGATTTCAAATTAGGTTTTGATTAAGATATTTTGGTCCTAGGAAGAGACATCATTAAACTTCAATAGTTATAAAAAATATTTCAGAACGCTATACAAGTTTTGATTTACTACTCCGAATAACAGTGTAAGTTAGCTGATACTTTCAGAGCCGTTTATATAAAGTAATCACAAAACTGTTCAAAAGTTCTCAAAGGAACAATCAGTTTACTTAGAGCTTTTTGCTCGCAACATCTGCAAGTTGATAAACCGTGAACCTGAGACAGCATAGAATTTATTCGGAATGTCTGCTGTCAAATTCCAATTCAATAGGAACTGACAAATGTCACTACTTATTGGATTTAAATTATTTATGACTTGTTCCATTCCGTCACATTGGTTAAAAAATATGCGAGAGCATCGTAAAAAGTATCAACTAGCCATGTTAGGCTTGAAGACCTCAAATACGATTTATGTTATTTTAGCTTTCCTAAATAATTACAGTCACATTATAAATAAATAAATAATAATAATAAATAAATAATAACAGTCACATTCTTGTTTTCTTCAGTAATAAGATATGGAGGGTGAAAATGTAAAAGATATCTTCACGATTTTTGGTACCAAATGGTATTAAATTCCTTCGCACTTTAAATAGAACTTTGATTAAGGTAAAGAAGCTCCGAGCAGCACAATTTTTTAAGAAGTTATTATTAAGCAATTGGCTTAAATAAGCCTTACGATCGTTTCTGTTAAAAACGCAATTTACCCTCTACTCGCATACAAAATTTTGCAACACTGAATCAACATGAAAGGCATTTGAGATAGAGAATTGTAGTTTCTACATTCAGAGAAAAAATTCGAGAGTAAGAAGAGGCAAACTGGAGGATGTGTCAACAGATTTAATTGGGGGAAGAAACTACTTAATTTTCTTAACGTTTGGACATTTTATTGAGCATTCAAAAAGGAATAGAGTTTATTTGTACCAACCAAATAATGTAGTACATGACAGGAAACTAAATCAGAGTGAGTTACATTCAAATAAATATCGGAGTAAACATTCAACTCTGCTACAAAAAAAAAATAGGTAAAGAAATTCAGGAGTAATCACAAATTAAGAAATACTCTTCAAAAATTAATAAAATAAACACGAATTTTCACCCAAGCCTGGAGCCACTGAACAACTTTTATTCATAGATGACAGTCTTGCCAGTCCCTGCTTCCCAATGCACACGAGTGTCTGCCTAACTTATCCGCCACATAAATTTTCTTAACTATTTCAGACGAGTATTTCTAGCACCCACTCAGTATTTTAATTAATATATCGCACGCGAACATCATACAACCTTAAATAAAAGAACAAGAGTCAGGTATTATCTCAGCAGCCGCATTGTAATTCTCATGCTACGCAGGCAAGATTTGCGTCCCGTAATCATGGGAAGTTTAATTTTAGGCTCTCGAGCACTCGCCAAGATTAAGCGTTTGATCCGATTAAAAGTAAAGCAGGAACCCGCATGTCTTCAAGCTAAGGGCAGGTCGTGATTAATTTCGTAGCAGGTTGTCGTGACTAGCTGCGATACCGAGATTAAAAGTGATGTCGTGCGGGCCAACCATAGATACTGGCGGAGGCAGCTGATAATGAACGGGTCAATGCGAACCCACACAAATAATTCTACTGATCTGTAGCTGAGAATCCTCCCCTTAATGCTATACATCAGGCATTCTCGGGGCTATATATCCTGAAGGCAACTAAACGGGACCATTTTATTTCATTCACAAAGACTGACAGGCCACCGACGAGTCTGCAGCCCCTGCTCATTCATCACTCATCCAATATTGAAGACTATGCCCTATGTTACTTCGATTCGGATCGAGCTTCGTCGCGCAGTTTTCGAAAACTGCAAACTTTATGCAATTGATGGACGATTTCATATAATCTAACGTGAAGATCAAACAACTATTATATTAATATCAGTGATTTTTCCGTTTAGATTTTGCTTACGAAAATTCAAACTGAGAACCGAATAACACCAAACAAATTAACATCCTACATGATATTTTAATCGGATAGACAATTTTCCATATAACTGTTCCTAATCTTTTAGTCCAGATATTCCTCATAAAGGTTCCTGTGAGTGCATTCGGTAGAGCTAAAGGCAGCCGTCAGCACTCTGACATTAAGTCGTTTGAGGCCAAATTTATGGGCTTCATTGACACTCTTAATGAGGAAGCCAAGAAGCCCTGGCCGCGAACACTACTGTGGCCATCGGTGTTTCAATTTGACTCTCTCAGTTGTACGTATTGGCTGCCGTTGACCTTTGATAATTATAATTGGACCGATAGCTTTGCATGAAGATTTACCAATCGATTTTTGTGAAATTAATCGTGGTTATCAGCTGGTTGATAATTTCTCCTCGATCATTCGCAAAAACTTGCCTCGCGTTTCAAATGTTATTCTGAAGTTTCATTGCAGCGCTCGAACTATTGTAGCTAAACAATCGAAAGCTTTCATCGATCCTCTACGTCATTGGAAACTTCATTATTTGCGTTTGCATCTGGCATCTGGCAGTGGTCGAGGACGCACGTAGTGTTTGCGGGTCCCAACTTTCTCACTTTTTACTATGCCGGTTTGACTTATCTCGCGAATTTTGTACCGAAACGATTTCAGTGAAAGGTTCAATGTTAGTGCAGTTCAATCAAAATTGTGCGAATAGTGAGAAAAACGGCTAGTACAAGTGTTTTATTCATCTATGAACAAGGCACGAAATGGAAAAGAATCGGCGACAGGCCACATCAGGCCTACACTTCAGAGCCGACATCACTATGTTATGTTATGTTATGTTATCACTTCAATTCAGACATCATGCGGATAAAACATGTCACTCTCAAACTTTTAATGAATACGTAAGTGTCTGACAGACAGCAAGCAATGTCCATTCCGATGAAACATCAACTAGTGTCAGCATATTCTAGAGCAGGAAACGTCACCTAAGGTTCGGCCATACACACACTGGAATACATCAGGCTCCAGACTCCTTCGTCACATCGGTAGGTACACGGATGGGCAATTTCCTCAGTGTCCATCAAGTGTCTGTCTTCTTCTGCCTTTCTCGACAGCGACCAAGTCAGCTCACAGTCGCTCGACTCTATTCTGGAGTTTCGTCAAGTGTGGTGAGCGAGACACCAGAGAACGGCAGCTCATTGCCACTTTCGTGGAAACAATAACAAAGGCGCCTCGCCACTCTGCTGTATCGATGACGGCAGTGGTGAGGTAGACCTTCTTTGTATTCAGAAGAGAGCCAGTATTCCCGTAGGGAATGTCAACTTCAGCAGCAATGGAAACAGTTGCGCGTTCGCTAGAACCTACGGCTAATTGAACTAGATTTTTCATCCCAAGCGCACTTAGAAATGCCTGATACAGTGTTCATTTTGTCCTAATTTTCTGAGCTCAAGTCAATTGAATTAAAATAGTCAGACGCAATAGTTTTATGTATCATTAACATGGATCAAAAATAAAATTGCTATGACTCATTTAGTACCGCAGTAGAATTAATTTAACACGAGCTTAACAGAATTTTAAATAGCATAGACTGTTCGTAAGTTTCTTATTTCCTCATTTAAATAATACTATGTATTATTTGAATTCGACAAAAAAATTAAATTATTTGATTCAATTCGGCAAAAAACTGTTGATATTAGTTAACAAGCTGCTAAATTTCATCATAACCAATCCATTGTACGCACTGAAGTAGTATTCAGGACAAGCAGGCTATTGAACTCGGCTCTCTTTTCAAGATGTGCACAATGTTTTCTTCATCAATTAAGGCGGCGCATTTTCCAGCTTAGCAGTGTACATTAGCGCACGTGTCAGCGTGGACCATTGTGGCCCCTTCGGGAACTGGTGCTGCGTCCGAGAAATTAACACAATTTCTTGCTGAACTAAGAGGCAGTAAAGTAGCGTAAATTGTTGAAGTTTATAAGAAGGTCGTAACATCGAAAGATAATGAGCCCTTAGGGAAGCCCGGGTGCGCCTCATAAGAGAAAAACGAAGATGAACCAAAATGATATTAGATTCATTAGGAGGACCAGCTCACTCTCCAGTACCGGGACTCATGAAAGTTTTACTATAACGTTAAGAGGTCAAGTTTTAAAGCAGGAAAAGCGGAGAAGTTATCTATCAATAGTCTTTGTCTGAAGCTATCAGCAAGTTCAATCGAAGAAGAAAAATTTTTATGCTCTTTCTTTTAGTCTTGATCACAGCCTCTAGTCTTAGTCATAGTTTTTTGAAATAAAAACTTTATGCGTCGTTCTCTGTTCAAACATGTGTATACTCACAACAACTCTACTCGCTTAGAAACACGAGCATCTAACATACCACTAAACACAAAATATCTGAGTAAGCAAACTCGATCTCATGATTACTAAATAAATATATTCTTCGCGGTCAATTTACTAATGAAATCGAGACGTAGCTCGTTCCGGCTTCCTGTTGTTGACCCTTACTTTAGAATCTTTATGAGCGGCTCATTGATTCTCTATTAATTCAACGGAAATTAATTCAACAAAACGAGTTATAAGTTGGGAGAAATTCATGACTTGTCTCCTTGTTGTGCTCCTCGACTCAGAAAAATTATTCTAGAAATATAATTCTAAAGTCGACGATTATTATTATTTCTGATCATGTCAATTCATGCTTTAATTATCATACCCTGTAGTTTTTTCCAATAGTAATCTTATCTTACTCTAACTTTTTGAATCAGAATTTTTTAACTGAATGCTCGCATCTCAGAAATTCATGTTTAAAGAACAATTGCATATGTCTGAAGAAAATATACAAGATTTTTTAGGGTTAATTGATTCACGGTTGGCGATGTAAGCATTGCGTTGAACTTAATATATTCATCATAAATTATTAATTCTCATGCCTGAGCACCAGCGCTCGTCCACGCAAGTACAGATTGTTTAATTAATTCAGGCTGTTATTTGGATATAGAGAATTTAATTTACATAGAATACATAGTTGCAATTTAATTATCAATATATGAGGTCAAGTAATTCGTCGTCAATTGCGACTGTATACTATAAATATTAATCATTTTCTGAATAGCAGTCTTAATTCGTTGATCTTGTAATAGAATTAGGTTCATTTATTTGATTTTGAAGCCAAATATTTTCAGGTACTGGCATTTGCTCAACATGCAGGTAGTTTACAAGAATATATTACTAGTATGGAAAAAATAACAGCTTACTAAACGACGATGATGAGATGACAAATAAATATTGTAAATAATTATTAAGAAGTAGTAAGTAGTAAGAAGTAGAACAGTAATAATAATTAAATAATTACTGTATTATTACTGTTACTAAGAGTTAGTCGCATGAAATGATATACTACAATATTGTTGTAGTGACGTACTTCCGCCTTCATAATCCTTCACATAAATTAACAGCAGCTGTTGTTTATTAACTCACTGACGATGCTGAGTTGAATAGAGCGGCTAATTTTTGGCTCCGTTGATACTTGACACTCGTAGGCACCGGCGTCGTGGTCGGTCACGAATTTTATTTGCAGCGTCCAAGTCTGGGAGCTGACATCGAAGCGCGCCGTGAAGCGTTCGTCAGAGATGAACGTGTAGCTGTCCACCGTCAGGATGTGCGAGTCTGCATTACGAACCCACGACACCTGATGGAAATTTTTTCTATTTTATTTATGAAGATAATATGAAGGAATGAGAATGTTTTATATAATCATACAAATTGTAAAAATATTAGTTCGTAAAGTGATAGGCAAACCGTCGAGTGAGTTCGTTTTATAGGTTCTCCGCACCAGGAAGAAATCGTTGATTAAAAATTCATAACGGCACAGTCAGTTTGTCAGCCTCATGCCACTTCAACATCTGAAGAGAAGTCTTTGAATAATAAATCAATAACATAACGACATCTTCATTGAGCGAGCTTCATGCACCTTGTGCATCTAACGGAAATCGTTGAACACATCAGCAACTACGATAAAAGAAGAGGATTGAAGAAATTTTTATATTGAAATATTGGCATTAAACTGCGTAGATTTCGGGCATGTCTTATCGTGCACTCCTTGTACAGGTATGAAAACAGAAATGAGTGACTTTAATATGCGAGTAATTTGGATTGAAAGTCAATACGAAACATGAGCAACTGCTTCCAAATCCAAAATATTCATAGACACTTTAGCCTGTTAGTACTCGCTTGTTGTTTGATTTCTCCTCCGAACTAACTTAGCATACGGAAATTTGTTTCGCTCATGACGAATCTAGCTCAGCAAAGGTTATTTAAAAAAATGATGTGGATTTTATAAAGAACAATATAAAATATTCTACCATTTATGGGGAAATGTCAAAGAAATAAGTAACTTTAAAAGAAAATATTTGTTTTCAGCATTTCCTATAACTTCCAGAAACTTATGAAATAAAATCAAGAAACTGAAATATAGTTTAAAATGTTTTCAAAATTTGTAATTGCAGCTAAAGCTTCAAAAGAACTGGCTTAGGAACAGAGTTTCCGCTCCTTAATAAGCCGGTTGTACGGAGAGAATGCCCTAAATAAATAAACAGTGTAAGGTACATAGCACAAACTCACCGACTTGTCTCCCATGTGAATAATTCTGCACGGCAGGTAGGCATGAGCACCGAGCTGTGCCTGGACTTTGGCAGGCAAAGATTTATCAAAGACAGGCGCGCTGTGCAGCGCCAGTACGTCATCGTGAACTACAGCTCCTCTGTCCGTGATTACCCGCTCGCTCCTCCGGTCGTCAACTCCTGAAAGGAAACCTTCGCCGTCGCCAACCCCGTCTTCCAAGGAGCTGCTATTCTCCTCGAGCCCGAAAAAGGAATTGTGACTCTTCAGAGGATAAGTAGGCGTTAATGTAGCCTCGAGAACTTCATTAAGATGTTTATGGTGCTTTTGAGATCGTTGTTTGCGAGTGTCCAGACGTGACTGGTGTGAGTGCTGTTGGAGAAGCTGCTTCCCCTCTTCGCCCTCCAGAAGCGTCAAGTGGTCGTGTTCTGGGGAATGTTTCTTATGATGTTTGTTTCGACGGCCGTGATTTTTCCTTTTGCGTTTGTGTTGAGAATGCGCAGCAGTGTCATCAAGATGGCCCTCTTTAATGATGTTTGTATTGTCGAGATCGTTTGAAGTGTGATGCCTCAGGTGCTTCGGTGGCCATGAGTACGCGGCCTCTGGCTGGGACTCTAGAAGCACGTCGTCTGCCACCCATCGCCGTGACACACGCCAGTCACCTTCTGTTTATTTCAACAGAGGATAAAAGAAAATTAATTATACTTCAACCATACTTAAATTAATTAATTATTAGATTCATAAACACTTCTCATAAGAAGTAACTCGCGAGAACAAATATTCCAGTTAAATGGCGCTTTCTAACAAATCCAAGCAGCAGATCATGGAGGCTGCCCGAAAAGTATTGTTAACTAAAAAATTACAAAAGTTGGAATTTAAACACTGGGATCCAATGCCGCATTACTAAAATATTACCGATTCGAAATATAGTTCCACCAATGAAATTAGGCGTATTCTCCAAAATCTCATTCCATTGTACCCACAATTAAACCCGGACGCAAAGCTCGAACTATTAAAGAAGATGAACGCACTTCATCTTCAGTTCTACTGGCGGCCATATGATGATGGATTGACTGACCATTTGGGAGTTCCGCTCACTGCCGCACAAAGATGAATGGAACACGCGCTTCATTTGCTACGAACAAAGGCAAACCGAGAAATCAGTGCCAAGCCAGGGCCATGACAGAAGCAACCAACCGCTGTACGAGTCAATTTAAAATCAACCTTCCAGAGAATCCCCACCCGCACAAATTATGACTTGTGAATCTATCATTGATAATTACCAAAAAAAACACGTTTGGAACTCATGAGAAACTTTTGCTTGTTTAATTGAATTGTCTGTTTATGACGTATTTGTGCAACTAATATAAATCAAAATACAAAAATCACGAAATATATTGTATTAGGTGACGAAATAATAATTTTAGAAGGTATTGATATAAAAAAATTTTTTCTGAAGGAATTATTTGAATAAAATCAGATCCACAAGAAAGAAAAATGCTGAAAGTCATGAGTCATTATATTTTCATATTATATAATTAAAATATCAAGAGTTTTCTGATTCGTTTAAATTGGAAAATTTCAATGCTCGAGATGAAATCGTTTGAAAGTTTGCATCTTTTACCGTTATTTTAATGCACAATATTGTACTAGAGTGCATGTGAATCAAATATTAGACATTAATTAAGAATAGCTGGCCATTTATTTATAAATAGCATGCCGATATAGAACTTCCTGTGTAAATCCACGCTATGAGTGGTTCAACGCCTGCATATCTGTCTGATTCAAACCAATCCCTATTACAATCTTATGCCAAAGTTCAATCTAGCTCACCAAGTTTGGGAACTTAAAAAGTTCATTCCAAGCTCACTAAATTTGTAAAATCAGCACAGGGCTGGATACTTCACATCAGGGAAAGATAAAAAAGATACGAGTACATCGGTTAAATCAGCCATCCGACTGTGAAGAAATCAAGTTCGACTGCTACGAGGACTGCAAGTGTTTGTTGAGCTCGGCGCTCGTGATAGCGCAGCTCCTACACCAGAACAATCATCCGCTCGCTTCTTCCCTCGATTTTCAGGTCCGAAGGCAAGCCATCAGAATTCTGCAGCGCAGTCATGAGCTGATTGAACCAAACTCCCCGAGGCCGCAGTTCCCTGTTCGCTGATCATGCCTCTGCTTTGTATTATATGGAAACTCTTGCTCAATATTTTGGCAGTTCTTTCTAAAACTTAGATTTCTTAGATGCTGCCGAGCGTCCACTTTCTTTGCAATCTTGATGCAAAGTAACGCAGAAGTTTTGCGCCACTAAAGCAAAATGATCGACATGAAATTTTACCAACTCTTTATTTTAATCTCATCGATCACCATCGACGAGTCCGCAAATATCAAACAAATTTTTTGCAAGAGGAAGACAAAACACGCTTGCTGAAGGCTGTTTATTGAAATCCAATGTCTTCTATCGACCAGTGGACTCAAACTAAAGTTTAAGCCAAGAATGGGATTATTGGGACCCAGAACATGGCCGGTCTTCTACTTGAGCAGCGCACAAAAGGTCGGCAAGACCGAGTAATTTTTAACATTTAAGCCATTTTTTCAAACTGGTACCATACACTTACTTCTTTCGTGACTCATAATTTTTGCATTTGAAGGTTTTGTGATTCTTATGGCAATGAATATCGTCTGATAAAATCTTGTCGGGTTCATTTATTTGTCAATAGCATACAGAATTTACTCAACCATCAAGAAAACAATTTCCAAATTTGTTACAGAAGTAATACAAGGAAATTTTCCTTGCTATAAATCTTTCAATGCGCTTATCTTCACTCACTGAATATATACTATCTCCTTATATTCATTAAAACCTTATTTACTCAGTGCATCATCTTCAAAATGAAACTCCCAGATTCCCACAAATGAGGATCATTACATCATTGCAGAATCATTCGTAGCTCAGTAATGAGCATTGAAGCCATCATGTGCCATCACCATCAGGTTGGCAGCATGACTGGGAATAACGGCAGAATTTACTTGGCTAAATTAGCCCTTGCTAAAGTGTCTCCTTATGAATTTCTAAAGTCTATCAAACCGCTTCTCGTCAGTGCCTCCGGTGCACAGAGGTGTTTTATTGGTCCTACAGTGGCCCATTTGCCTAATGAAGCGCTCTTCATTGTCTGGGCCTGAACTTCTGGCACAATCTTCGTCTATTATTGCTCTTGCTTTACCATTCATAAATTAGCCTCCACTAATTGATGCCCTGAGCAAATCACGCGGGCGTCACGTTAGCGCGCACAATGGTCGTGGCGGTGGCCTCTTAGACGCGAGGCTGCGAGCGCCGAGTTAAGCATATTCTCTCCTCAAGAACCCAAATTAATTCTTGATGGTTCTATAGGAGAGCAGCTGTCTGCATATAAACAAACTATGAATATATAATTTCTGTCCCGTTCAAATATTTAGTTAGACATATGAGACGATAACGATTGATAGTTCAAATTCCAATAAAAAATATTCCGTAGATCATTTTATCTCCTAAATTGTTTGCTTTAAAATGTGGCGCACCGTCGTGCACTCACTGTCCTATGCGCATGCTTTAGAAATTTAACATTTTTCGAAGCTGTCTTGGAAAATGTAACGAATATATGATTGAATGTTCTATGTAAATTAATAATGTAACATAATCCCCCAAAAAATGAAAATGCCAGAGCCGTTTAGAATGTCAGACGGATAAATTAATATTTAAACCATAATCTTGTCATGTTTTAGGTAAGAATCTGCTCAGCTTGTAGGCTTGTCACTCCAGAAGTCCATCTGCTTCACCTCATATTGATGAAGCAAGTGATGACGTCATACAATCCATACGGTGACCTATGGAGATGCAGCACGGTCCTTATAAACCCGAGGCGTTTTCATTGCCGAGTAATTTCTTAAAATATTTTTTTATGGTTTCACAGTGCTTGAAAAATGTGAGGCCCCAATTGAGCAAGCTAAAGTAACATTATAATTGGTTTAATATGATAAAAAGTACCTCTGTCCTACTTTCTGCCGTCTTAGAAAGATAATTATTGTTGATCAGTTCCAAAAGTAGTTTAATTGACTCATACAATTTGCAGCAAAATTTTAGGTTGAACCTTTGCAAGTACATGTCAAAAAAAATTATTTTTAAACAGTTGCGCGTTTAAATAAGCTATCACGACCTAAGTGCTCCACTACAAGCTAAGTTCAGGCTCCCCCAGAACCGATGTTCTCAGGCGGCGAAAATCAGTTTTTGGAGCCTCTTCGGCTAAATGGAAAATTGGCTGCTATCAATCAACATTTTGATGAAGGAAATTTTAATGATGTTTGTTTTTAAGTTTCCTCACTGACCTTGAAATTCAGATTGTCCTATTTTCTGGACTCGTATTTCATTGTCACAGTAGTCCCAGATTGAAAACAACCTGATTCTTACCACTTATCTAATGCAAAATACAATAGTTCTCAGTGATATTCCATGAGGCAAAGAGACTTTCCCACTGTGAATTCTGAATCACACGGGTTTTTTCCAATTGTAAATCTCTCGCATTATTAGACAGACCACAAACTTTGTTCAATTGGCATGTAACCAAACTACAGCTATAGAATGCATTTGAAAAGCGATGACCCAAAGGGAGTTAGTTACAGAGTGCGATATCGATGAGGTAATTAAGAACCTTCGATCAGTGAACAAATCTGATCTCCATTGACAGTCTGCAACACGAGTTCAGCTGCAACAGAAACAACAATGGCGGACATAAATTTCCGCAAAAGCTGTTGCTGGAATTGCCGGATTTAAACAGCAATAAAATTAGACAGCCTGCGGCGTAAGAAGGCAATGCTTGCACAGAGCATCGCTGTTGCGGCGCTGAGTTAGGACCCACAATAAATCCAGGGTATATTTTAGAAGCACCTGAGCCGTCTAGTTATAGCCTGAATAAAATATTCAGACACTGCAATAAAAAATTACTTGAATTATGTGACAAGGAGGCAATAGATTATCATCTGCATCTGCTTTTTCTTAGAATTCTCAAAAAACTTGAAAAAAGCACGTAACTGTTCGTGCAAGAAATTGTCAACTCGGTCATAAGGCGGTTACTACAATTTGGTAGGTGACTAGATTACTTAATTCTTCCTTTTCATCATAAGCCATCAAATAAAATGGTAGGATTCGACAAATATAGTATTTTATTTAGTTTGGTTATCATAAATTTTAATCCAGAGATAAAAGGAAATGTTCATTGATAAAATTACAATTGTGAAGCCGAGTTCTGTTATACTATTATTATTTTATTTGCCTTGTATCTTCCAGGTGCGTTAAATGTCCAACTTAACTGTCCTGCAAAGCGTGAATGCCGCCTTTTATTAACTATTATACTATCAATTATATTATTATTAACTATCTCCTACACCACAGGTCCTGATTCTGATTTCCTATTATCGGAGTCAAAGTTGTGCTCCTAAAATTGTTGAACGACGCTTAGTAACTAACGACGAGCAATGAAATTATACACGTTTTTCTACATGAGTCAACGAATAAAATGATATCCATATAATTTATTTTATATGAAATAAGAAAAAAATTCCTTTCACAGTGTCTAAATAGATGTTTTTTATCGGTTACTATCAAGCCATTAATGAAATAAGTCCAAAAAGCAGGTACATAAGTATACCAAGCGCCCGGTACGTCGACCAACTGGGGTCCCCCACCTTAAAACAGTCATCTCACTTCACGACTATGTAAGAAAAGATGCACGAAATATATCGCCAGAATTTCATTGATCAGCGCCTTCAGCCACCCAGGTTTAGTGGTTACGAAAGAAAGACCGCCATCAGAATCTTGAGAGTGCGGGTAATCATGATGCTTCTTTCGTGCATCATCCTGAGCCCAGCCACTCCGGATGTTAAAGTTAGGATCATGAGAGCGAAAGTCAGGGATATTTCAACCAAATATAAAACGAAGTCCCAGGAGTACAAGTAAGAAATATTCACCCGTTAGGTGATCACTTGTTTTCGTGCTCTGCGAGCTGCGGCCGCTGTTGGGTTTTGGTGCTGGCGGCGCTCGCTAGCGCTACTCTCCCGTTCTTCAGCCAATGAAGATACGGCAGGCCATCTTCGATGAGCCTTTGATGAGCGCTCTTCAAGCGTGCTGCAGTCATGTGTACTTTGGAGGTCATCTTGCTGATCAATACGCACACGACAGTAATTGTTTTCTTTGCAGGTTGAAACGCTTATATTTTCTTACAGCTCAGTTTCATACTGAATCCAATCCCTCGCACGTTGAGGCAACTAAATGCTCTGGCGTAGATCTAGGTCCGAATTTTTGTAGCGGGACAAACTGTTTCCCATTTTTGCGAATCTTCAAAATCCTTTATCACGAATCTTCAACGACACAGAGTCTGGCTTCAGACACGACACAGTGTCTGGCTTCAGACGCGGCACAGTGTCTGGCTTCAGACACGACACAGTGTCTGGCTTCAGACACGACACAGTGTCTGGCTTCAGCCACGACACAGTGCCTGGCTTCAGCCACGACACAGTGCCTGGCTTCAGACACGACACAGTGTCTGGCTTCAGACACGACATAGTGTCAGGCTTCAGACACGTTCACAAACAAACAAACGAACGGGTAAACACACCGTTTGCAAATATATCATAGATTAAATTGGTTCAGGGATTTACCATTGCGAATTGTTTGCACGCGTTAATACCTGCCTTAGCATCCTCATCGATCATTTAAATTAATTTTCTGAGTTTTAACGTGAATGTTTTGTTAAATTTGGTCTCAGAAAATATTTGGTCAGCAAACAATATGGCCTGCATCGAAACACTAAAGTAAAAGGTGTATAGATAATAGCCTCATAATGAATGACTGATGAATTTATATTTTAAAATTTCATTTTGAATTTTGACGTGTACACTTCTGAATGTTATACATTTTTTGCAGAGGGAAAGGTGGATTAAGTGGAATAGTTTTGACAATAAATTATAGCAAGAAATTTAAATAACAAGCAAAATTTCGTGGTAGTCCGTCGTAATATAGAATCATGTTTTAAATTTTTAAGAAAACGGACGCTCGTTACATCAATCCTTGGCATTACTACCACAGACTTCACTAATGGCATTAAAAGATTAATATACAAATAAAAAATCAGGGCACAATGCAACAAACTAAATGCTCATTCTGTCGCTCCTTTCCTGGAATATACTCGCATTTGGTTAAATTTAAATGTTCGGAAGATCCTGGATCAAAATTCGGAATAAAGTTGCCGAGACTCGAAAGACCGTGCAAAATGTAAATCACTTCGGCCTACACTTCAATTGTCACTTTCTTCTCAGTCTCGCTCACTTCCATTTAAAATTCGTTGCGAGCCGCCTTCATTCGTGAATTCAGTGAGTTTACATGAATTAAGCGCGCACAGAACTTTATAATGTCAGTAACTTTCTCCATGGTGCTAAATTTTTTAGCCGATACAATTTTATTTCGATCCCAGAAAGTATTCGTTAAAAAATAGCTATGTAATGTAACTATTAGTCATCTTCATCCACGTTAAATGAACGAGCGTATATTAATCCTGTAATTTTAAACTGCCTAATTTATTTATTTTAATGAAAAGAATGCTACAAAATTATAAACGTAAATAGAGATGAAAATTTGGCAGAATTCTCAGAAAAAAAAAAGAGATTTAGTTTCCGGTTGACGACTCATCATATTATGTAGATAATTCATTTCGTTCCACAACTTCTAAATTTTTGCACAATAATGATTGTGAAAACGAGGATTTGTGAGCTCCATAGTCATGGTAATATATTGATATTGCCATATTGATATTATCATATTGTAATATTGTCATGGTAATAATCATTTCATAAACTACATATATTCAATTAGTACGAAGTTCTTAATATCTTTGTTTTCCATATATAATTGCTTAAGATACAAAACCATTCATCAAAAAAAGTTATCCCTATATCAAAAGATGCATTCTGGTCTCTGGTATTGTATCACCAATAAGACCAACATCTCACTGTCCTTCCACGATTTTATGAGGGATGTTGGTGTCAATTTTCCAAGAAGCTTTAAGAGTTGAATTACAGTGTGAGCTCTCACTCGTGAACCTCTCGCTTGGTAAATGTATGAAGTTACATTGCATCGCAGCAAATATGATGAGAAATGGCGCTCTCGTGTAATAAATGTTTCACGCTTCGAGACTTGCAACTTAAAAACAAGTCACCGAGCGCTCCAGAAGCTGCACTCTTCCTTGCTGCTTCAGAAATATGAAAGACTCAGCGAGCTCAGTGTCGAGAATTGTTCACAACGCTACCGATAAAACAACATAAATCATTTCCACTCGCAGGAAACGATAGAGGAGGGAGTAGCGACCCTCTCGTGGAGCAGCTAGACGCTTGTTTCGCACAAGTTTTCTTGCAAGGATAACTGAAAATTGAGCCAAATTCCCATTTAAGGTTGAGCACTATGGATACAAAATAAACATGTGAAGCTTTGGAAGATTGAAAATGATTGAGATGTTGATTTCTGAAAGACTTGAACTAGCCTTGTGTTGCCTATAGTGCGCTGAACTGAACTTTGCGCCAATAGAGCTATTGAAACGAAATTATTGCATATCTGTTGGTGTTTTCACTTAAATAATCATGAGTGGCATTTCATATGAGTGAAACTTCCTGCTAAGGTTTCATTTCAACAAAAAACTATGATTATTGAAAACTTTTTACATAAGTTTGTTCTACACGTTTGTTCTTTTTTGCATAAGTTTGTTAAATGATCTAATTTCACATGATTTCCAATCTGATCGATGCTTCTAATATTATCCTTGATTCTTTTTCTATGCAATTTAATGGCCCTCTTTCTTCGTCAGTTGCTGAACCAAACGAGGAGTAATTAAAGGCGTCGTTTTGAGTAATTAAAAGCGTCGTTTTGAGTAATTAAAGGCGTCGTTTTGAGTAATTAAAAGCGTCGTTTTGAGTAATTAAAGGCGTCGTTTTGATTAATTAAATGCGTCGTTTTGAGTAATTAAAGGCGTCGTTTTGAATAATTTAAGGCGTCGTTTTGATTGATTAAAGGCTCCGTTTTGAGTAATTATTGGCGTCATTTTGATTAATTAAAGGCGTCGTTTTGAATAATTTAAGGCGTCGTTTTGAGTAATTAAGGGCTTCGTTTTAAGTAATTAAAGGCGTCGTTTTGATTAATTAAATGCGTTGTTTTGAGTAAATAAAGGTGTTGTTTTGAGTATTTAAAGGCGTCGTTTTGAGTAATTAAATGCGTCGTTTTGAGTAAATAAAGGTGTTGTTTTGAGTATTTAAAGGCGTCGTTTTGAATAATTTAAGGTGTCGTTTTGAGTAATTAAGGGCTTCGTTTTAAGTAATTAAAGGCGTCGTTTTGATTAATTAAAGGCGTCATTTTGAATAATTTAAGGCGTCGTTTTGAGTAATTAAGGGCTTCGTTTTAAGTAATTAAAGGCGTCGTTTTGATTAATTAAATGCGTTGTTTTGAGTAAATAAAGGTGTTGTTTTGAGTATTTAAAGGCGTCGTTTTGAGTAATTAAATGCGTCGTTTTGAGTAAATAAAGGTGTTGTTTTGAGTATTTAAAGGCGTCGTTTTGAATAATTTAAGGTGTCGTTTTGAGTAATTAAGGGCTTCGTTTTAAGTAATTAAAGGCGTCGTTTTGATTAATTAAAGGCGTCATTTTGAGTAATTAAAGGCGTAGTTTTGAGTAATTAAACGTTCCGTTTTGAGAGGCGCATTACATAGCAGGAATGGAGTTGCACGGAGAATAATGATACATAGAGCTTGATATGGCGCGGTGTCTTGCTAAATCAATTTTACAACAGTAATTCAATTCAAACCTGTAACTACTCTGTGCAAAAAAATATGTTAGTGACAATTGATACAGTTTTCGCACTAGCGAACACTCTCAGTCATAACGATCAATCGCTTAAATTGATTCAACAGAAGTGCTCGTAAATTTAATGCGATAGAAACTTGAACATTCATTAGCAATCAAAACAATCAACCATGTTTGTCATTCCATTCTATCAAAAAATTATCAAGAAAGTTGAGAAATCAAACCTAGTGAACATTTTTTCTAAGCTTACCCGTATCGTGCGAGAAGCACCACGCTCCGCCCAGCAGCAGCGACAGCAGTAGCAGATGTGACGTCATCAATGTAGTGGTTTACATTAACATTTTTCAGCAATACCTTTGGTTTTTTCGTAGCCTAATACTTTATTCAACGGTATCCAGTTATTGTTCTACACCATTGTATGCTGTTGTTTTGTTGTTCGCTGGGTCTCACTTTTCAATCCATGAACATTAAACTCTTGGGGGGCGAGGTTTTCGACTTTGTTGAACCAGTATATTCCAAAATAAGTATTGTTACTTCTCTGAAGTGCTTTTATAAATGTTTTCTGGAATACATTTTTGATATTTCACTAAATGGGTGAAAACAAGAATACAATAAACACGTTTGATGTGCACTTGTTTTTTCCTGAAAATATTGAAAACGGTTAAAAATAAAACATTTTACAAGTAATTTTTCTATCGATTAGGTTTTTATCACTGCTAGGAACTCGTGTCAATGAGTCCCTAGCAATGAACGAGTTCACAAATCAAAATACAATGAAAAGTTATACATAATGCATTCAACATCATTTTGAACGAAATATTATCCAAATTCAATTTATGAGGCGCAGTTTTCTTCTAAGTTAATTTCATAAATATTTATAATACATAAATCTATGTAGAATCTTGTACAGCTTTACTTGGGCAGTTGTGAGCAGGTGAGGAAAACACTTCGTGCAATAAATTGGTCCTATCGCATTTCCTTACTGGTATTTTAATTCCAAACGAACGCTCATTCACAGTCATTGAAATTCGCCGAGGGTCTCTCATGGACTGAACCGAATGAATCTCAACCAGAATTTATACAACGAAATCGCCTACATAACAGTAAGAAGAGTTTATTCAGTGCGGCAAGACCTTGCAAGGTTCTCAGCTCATTCTTCAAAGGAGGAGAGCTCGGGACTAGAGTGTCCTGAGGAGATGCAGAGAGCAATATCATTCGTGCGCAATGGGTCGTATCACGCTAGAAAAACTCTCCATAGGGTTGTCTCGAGTAGAAAGATTGACCCACTTACGTTAGCAAGCAGGACCCATTTGGGCATTCACTGAATGTGAAAAGTTTGGCATTCTGCTCAAGCGATGCGCAATCTTTGGATTCCTCCTGCGGTTGTAGAGTATAAAAACTAAGCCTTCGAAAATCTAATGGTGTGTGGTTCTTTTTTCGCGAAATTTTTACGTGGAACATCAAAGCGGGAACCTGCAATTCTGAATGAACCCAGGCATTTTCCAACTGATTCCGTTCCAAGACGATTTTTGTTGACTGTCGTTCGAACAGGCATGCGAAGATCACTTCGGTGCCCGAATAAAAATTAATTGATAAAAAATTACGATGACGCAGGCATGCGCACTAAAGAATGCGACCGTATAGTGGTAAAAAGCCATGGAACTTTACGGTCTGTTTTTAATTAGACCGAAGATATGATCACTGATAAACACATATATTTTAACTCCTTTCCTCTTCCAAACACCATCAAGGGATATTTCTCAGTTGAAATCATTTTTTTCCAACCTATCGTCTTACGGAATGGTGTCGGAAAGTAAACCTTATAATTACGACAATCTGTAGTTGGATAATATTACCTTCATGTGCTATGTACAAGTTTGAGTTCTGCAAAAGTGTCAATACATCACACTTTGAGACGTGACAACACTATTTACAAAATTTGTAGCCTCAAATGCTCATCAAAACAAACAAATACTAACTCTAGATATCAAAGAGTTAGCTGCTTTTAGCGGGCTGGAATAGCCGCGGCTCGCAAAGCAGCAGCTATTTGGAGAATTAATTGCAGTTGAGGCCGAGCTGTGGCGTCAGTATGAGAGAGGAGGGGAGAGATGCTTCTCAGCTGACCATTAGGAGAGACAGAGGGTCGCAATTAGCCACCAGGCGCGCTATATGTATTTGCTTTAGGCCCTTTCCTCCACCTTCTCGTGTCAGGCTGGACAGCGCTCACTTCCCAGCTCAGGAGCATTTTTCGATTTTATTGCGAATGTTCCTACCAACGAGTGTGAAACGTATATTGTTCCCTCGTGTATTAGCACCTTATGAAACAGATGAAACAGGCGTTGCTCAGCAACGATTCCCTGAAATGTGAAAAAGACTTATATGATTCCATAACTAAATGTCAAATTATAGATCTTAGTGCGATTCCAATTATTATCCTGTTACTAGAGGCATTAGGTTACACGCTCGAATTACATCTGCATTTATAATGCAAATAAAAACCCAAAATTTGTAATAAATAGAAACTGTTTCCGATATATTTGATGACAAAACAAAATGATTAATAAAATAAAAGAATTTTGCTCAAGGAAAATGGACAAAATTCGCAAAAAGGGACAATTGATGCAGAAAAAAGTGAAAAGTTAATGAATAAGTTTGCAAGGCATTGAGAAATGTCTAAGGAATGAATTTGAAGGGCAATTGCACATCGATTTGAAATTTATGTAAAATTAATTTTGAAAAATTGTAGTGACACTGTATTTTTATACATGAAAATGTATGAAAATAATGAATGGGAAATGACGGGAACCTTTATGAAAAATGAATGGAAAGAACTTTGAAACTGATTGTAAATGCATTAAAATAGAAATTAAATGAATTACAAAATTAAGCAAAAACACGAAAAATCTATGGAAAAAGTAAAAAATGTAAGTGAAATGAAGGGAAAACTTAAAAAAAATCATATATCTATAAAATCCACAAAACAGGAGAACAAAATAATGTACAGACAATGTCTACAGACCAAATTACAAACAATACATTGCAAACAAACTGTAGCTCGATCAAAATTGCCCTATAGGTGTGAAACATCAGACGCTTTTAACGATTCCATTGCATATTATGTAAGACAGACCTCACCGTGACCCGCAAACCTTTCTGTCTGACATCTCCCATGCAATTAAACTCAACTGATTCTCATTCGTTTCGATCTGCGCTGGAAATAAATATGAAACAGGTGCTAGATTATAGCATTTGATAATTCATTCTCCGGTTACATAAGTCTGAAGGTCCGTGAAACCTTCGCTATCGTTAATTTGCTAGCATTGTTGCTTGATAATCATAGTAAATATACAGTATTTTGTCGGTCTGTTAATGGAACATGGAAGAAAAATACTATATTTATACATCATTGCTTTAGCTCTAGGTTATTTGAGCTGATAATTACAGGAAAAAACGAAAACTGTTCTCACCTAAATTAACATCAAATAACGTCATTACAGCATGAAAATAAAAATATATATATAGTTTGAAAATTGTTCTTGATTACACATAACACGATCCTTTCAGATAAAATAATTCAAACGGGCATGTGAATTGTACAAACTCATTACTCACCTAAAACCTTACAACTTTTCATGCTCGAATGATCCTATTATGGGAACGATTAAAAAGAAATGATTATGATTAGAGAATATGGCTGAAAATTCCACCCACTCCATCATATTTGTACATAAAAGATTTCACAAATTGGGTGTCTTTGTGGTGCCCGCATGACACTATTTGCCTTTGTTTTGATATTTTCAATTCACAAATGACTTACTATCATTCACACATTAACAAGCTTAGTTCTAATTTGCAATATTATCGGAATCATTTGCAAGACATTTTACAGTCTTCATTAGTAGTCATAATATTTTACTTTTAAGGTTTACGAATTTCATAATTACGTCTTAATCATTCGTCTTATCAGAGAAAAAATAGCACAAAAAAACGAAAAAAATATCAAAAAGGGCAAAATGATATCATAAAACGAATAAACGACTTTAGAAGTAAGAGCAACTGGTTTTTATCATAATACACAAATACAATATTTCTATGAATTTGGAATAGATTATTATAAAGATACGAAAAATAACAAAGAAACTAGAATTTTGACTAACCAGCGAAATATTTTGTCAATTAAATATTAACAAAAACGTACGCCACGTAGTTAATGAACCTGACTATGTTAAAGATCGGAGAAGATAGTACATTTCAGATGATCATAATAAATCAACTATTTAAAAATTAACAACAGAGTATGAAAAAATCTTAACGATTATCTTGTCCAGGTATACTTCTTATAATATAATTTTAAATGTCAGTTAAATCTTAATATCCTTCCTATCCACTTGTAAGAAATTCAAATTGCATCCCGGATGATTGAATGCCGCTGAATGCCTTTGATCAATAGATTGCGCGGCCTAACGAGTGCCTTTGCTGGCAGCAAATGAAGCATCGCCCGGAGCAATTTTCAGCCTTTGGACCACCGGCGCGGGCATCATCAAATAATTGTTAACTACGTCAACATCTGCTGCTTGTAATCAAACGCGTATGTTATTTACAGTTATATTCTCATCCAATTAATGATAGATATATATGTATATATATTTATTCGTAATAACCAGGATGCTATGCATTACAAGCAATGCTAAAAGAAAACTAATCGAAGTACAATGAAAAAAAATTCTGTTCTCTCCTCGCAATGCCGGTGTTTAAAATGCGCCAACATCTTCATGCCGTTCAAATATTTTTTCACCAATACAATATTCTGTGATTGAAAAAAGTTTATAAATTAACTAAAGAGCTTTACTGCTATGGTGCACGGTGGCGTAGAGATCAAGAACTCGTATGCGTGTTTTAACAAACTCACAACACTATAAGACACACTCACTAGCGCTGCTTGGTTTCTTGTCTTTTCCATGAAGACGTTCAACAGCTTAATTGACAGGTTCTGTGGTGCGGCGTCCAGTCCACCTGCTACGTCTAGGATAAATAAACGTTATTGTCATTTTATATTGGAGATGTAAATATTTAGCAGAGGTGTGCAATTACAGCTCGCTTGGCGGTGACAATTTGTTCAACATTAAATAAGGGGCAGAGTTGCAATTAAGGTTTAGCCAAAGCCATTCAAGCCAAAGAAGCCATTCAGAACAAACAGCGCTCAGCAACAAGACGTTAATAGCACTATCAGTGAGGACTCTTGCCTTAAACAGAACCCTCTAAAGACATTAATTAAAATTAAATGCAAAATAACTGCCATGTTCAGGTAAATTATTCCGCTGTTTCCTCTGAGTGCGGAATGTGGCGCCGAACATTGGACGGACGCATCCAGGCAGGGCGGAACGCGCCTACGGCCGCAGCCTGTGAACACTGACTAATCTATTCTTATCTATTCTTATCTATTCTTATCTATTCTTATCTATTCTTATCTATTCTTATCTATTCTTATCTATTCTTATCTATTCTTATCTATTCATATCTATTCTTAGCTATTCTGATCTATTTTGATCTATTCTGTGTTCAGAGATTAAGAATCATGCAGGTTTGTTAAGATGAGCCTTCAATTCAAGCCTAAATTTTCCATGAAAAATGA